TACCATTTAGCCACACTTTCATACATTGGCGAACTACACCTTTTCCACTTTTATTCGAGAAACTATCAAGTTAATTGTATTTGAGAATAGTAAAATGTATTTGAGAAAACAACAAATGTAATTCAGAATAGTGATTTGTATTTGAGAAGGCATCAAATGAATTTGAGAGTAGTAAATTGTATTCAAGAAATGGTAAAATTAAGTATTTGAGAATCAATAACAAAATCACATGTATAACATAGCCTGATGCTGCTGCTGCTGCTGTTGCGGGACTACATACAGTAGCGGAATTATAAAAATTTGATTCTTAATTATAATTCATTAGGAATAATATTACATTCTAAAATACAATAAAATTAAATGATACTTTCTCAAATACAATTGACTATTCTCAAATACATTTGATGTTTTCTCAAATCCAACTGACTATTCTCATCTACTTTGACGTTTTCTCAAATACAAGTAACAATTCTCAAATACAATTTACAACTTCTCGAATAAAAGTGGAAAAGGTGTAGAATGCACAGAATAAGGAAGGCTACTTATTCTGTGCTAGTATGCCAATCTATATCCCAAATAAATCAATTTCATTTGCTATAGTGTCAATGAATCAAGCAAACCTTAAATGATGAAATTTTAGTTTATGAAGCTACTCCATAGCGCATTCAGAAAGTAATTTTCCCCTTTTTTTAAAGTAAAAGATATTTATCCTTCAAAATTGCGCATGTGTAACAGATCTATGACGTAGCAATCATATGCCGGCTGGACAGGTTCCGACCGGTGCCAGCAGTTCTTATTCTTTCTCCCACAGAAGGTGCGTACTGACAATTTCCATGCAACAAAGATTGCAATATCTGTGGGAAATAGCTGCTGAGCTCTGTAACCGTGAAACGATGGTTCTCCATGATCCGCAGACCCACATGAGCTACACGAAGTAATTTTTTTCTGAATTGACACTAGGCGGTTGTGGGTTTTGAGAGACAGATTAAAAAGGTCCAGTCTTAATGAGACTCGTTTAATGAAAACATAATTTTTCAGGTGTATGTTCTTCATTTTTATAGTCTTTAAAATAAGCCGCTTTCGAAACATAAGTTGGCCAATTATGCAATTTGTGCAACTGCACAGTTTATCTTTCAAATATGGAGATATCTTTTAAATTTAACATAGTAGAAATGTATTATCATTATTATTGTTATAATTTATGAAGCATTCAAATTAGGGATGTTACGAAAGTGGTTATATCAGAAATGAATTCGGAAGCGGAATTTTTAATTTTATCGGAATCGGAGGCTGAAGGGAGATTAATAAAATAAAAATACAACTAAATCAAATGAACTGACTCCAAAAGAAGCAAATTTAATGAACAAAACAACAAGTGAAGGGGTAATCGAAAGAAGGCACCAAGTGAGGGAGGTCTCTGAACAACAAGTATAAACTTGTTTGTATGTGGACGCGCCGCCGCGATGCATCAACCTCTGATATAACTTTAGATTAAAATTTATCGAAACCGAAATCCGAATCCAAGGTGCCAAATCATTTGGATGTTCTGAATTATCGGAATCGAACCTTTGTAACATCTCTAATTCCAGTATATATGTGTAAGTTTGTATAGTGTATAGTAAACGTTTCAAAGTATAAACATAATCCAGTGTTTCAGGCAAATTTCTAGTCAAAGTTCACAACAGATTTGTTCTAAAACTAGTCATTTTTGATTGCTTAATATTTTCTAATAGTGCATCTGTAGTGATCTAACGAAACTGTACTGCAGGATGTTTTATAATAATTTATTTTTATAAGACAAAACTTGAGCAATAACTACTTAAGTTGTGTTTTTTTATTAACAATGTGTCGATGTATTTATAATTCATGTAACAGGGATAATTTTTAAAGCAATAACATTATGAATGGATTGTTAAAACCTTTAGAAGGTGCGTAGGGACATTCTTTTTCTGTTACTTATTGCTGTATTTACTTATAAAGGAAAACAGTGCTGTGTTTACTAATAGTACCTATTTTTAATAATTTTATTATGGTTTTATATTAAAATGTACATAAAAGTTACAAAATATTTTTAGTACAGAGATATTACAAATAGAATCCAGCCAGTGCTTTTTGGTGAATTTGTTGTTGTGTATAATTCCGGTGTTTCTCTAAAAATAAGTTCTACTAATGTTATAAGTTACACTGTTTCAATGCATATTAATGACTGAGTTTGCGGGAAGTTGTGTGCCTTAATGTGTGTAGTTTGTATAAAATATTTTAAATATGGACTTGTAGAACTTGTGTTGTACCCCTATTATTTGTATATAATTATAGTAATTCCATTGTCACAATAACTTAGTTATAATTGTGCATTGAGCTGTGGATAATAATTTATTTGAGAATCAAAAGTTATTTCATAGCAAGTAGTTATTAGTTTAATTCAATAGATGCATATATCAACTTCAAGCATGTTTATTCATAGAATTGGCTTTAGTCTAGTTGAATGGTAAAGGCCTGGGGTATTAGTAACTATTTACAGTCATAAATCAACATTGTTAGAATAATTAGCGTGAATTATGGGTAATGTGAGTCTTGATATTTAATATTCAAATCGCAGATAGGAATAAAACAGTGTTTAAATATTTTGTTGTTTGACAATTGCGTAATGATAGAAGTGAGGCGTCATGGAGAGACATTCTCATATCAATAGTCGTGTAAATTTTATTTTTGGGTAACTGTGACAAACTTTTATCTTTTTTGAACTGTCAAAATTGTTTACTACACCAATTCCTGTTTCTGTGTGGGTGTGCATCGTAAAACTGAAACCCTTTCTATGTACAATGCTGCAATTTGTGTTGTGTTGTGAATTAAAGTGTAGTTTGTCGATTTTGTAGATTACTTATATCAAACTCACATTATTCTACAGTTTACTGTTATGTTGCTATAAAAATGATTTTTCCATGTAAATTACTCTGGACAAATTTCCGTCCTAATTTAATTTGTTAAGCAAACTTTATTTTTACGTGGAAAGGAATGGATTGTTGAATGTTTATAGGCCCGTCTGGAATAAGCATCGTTGGCAACATTGTTATATCCCAGAAGCCTGCTTTGCCAGAATTAGATACTAACAACTATTAGCTTATGAAATTACATGGTGCTTATAGATGAATAACTAATAATAGATTTGTAGAAGTTTTATGGTTATATAGACAGGTGTTGAAAATATTGTGTAGATCCTCCTTTTATACAGTTAAGTGTACAGGTCATTCGTTTTGGGGAGAAATAAATTTATTTTAATCTTCCCTTTCAAATAATAGTATAATTATAACGTTTTATGTAAAATGTTCAAATATGCTGTTATAAAAGTTATGAACGTTTTGTAATACACCTAAGTATTAACTGCATTTGAAATTTAGTTTTACTGCTCTCTAATTTAGTTTGTTTTTCTCTGTTTATCATTAACAAGTTATGCCTTTTTTTGCTTTTAAGATAAAGTTATTTTCCAAATTAATAAAGTAATTCTTTTGACATAAATTGTATTGCCTTTTCATTAAAACTTTGATCTAATAGTAGGAGAGCTGGCTACAGAAAAATGACAGTATCATATGTATAAAGGAAAGTATTGTAAATATGATACATTTGTGATATGTTTTTTGATTGCGTTTGATGGACGTTTTGAACTCCACAGACTCCAAAAAACTGCTTTTTGACTTGACGTGTGTGTGGGTGCGTATGTGGTTCGTTTTTGGTGAACATGATAACTAAACAAGTATAAATTGTGCACAACTCTTGTGCAGATAAAGCACATTTTTTTTAACCGAAATAGCTTTTGTTTTGACATCACCAATGAATATATTTCTTGCAGACGTCTGAATCGCCCTTTGTGAGTGTTCTCTTCCGACAGTCCTTTCTTGAGGTATAAGGGAATATACACGATAAGAGGTCAAGGAGGAGGGCTATGGTTGGTAGAAATTAATTCCTTTCGTTGAGATCTTTCATTAGAGTACCATGAAGTATAAAACTAGTTCCTCCCCTACATCCCGTACTTTGATAAGAGGACAGAAAGAAGGGCAGTAGTTGGTAGAAAACGGTTCCTTTCGTTGAGACCTTTAATTAGAATACAATGAGAGATAAAATCAATTTTTAACCCTCCCAAGGCCCCGTCGCTCACGGATCTCGAAAAAGAGTCGCATAGTTTGTACAAACCAATTTATTTCGATGAGACCTTTCATTAGAATACCATGAAGGGTAGTACATGTGCCCCCCCCCCCCATTTTCTAAAGTATAACTTGGCACCACTAAAGCCATGCGTATGCAAAATCTGAGACCAATTGGTTGTCATACGTAAAAGTTATGCACGTTTTACTTTCAAAAACAGCATCGGGAAATAATTCGTGGGGGTCCCTCTTTTAGACACCGAAATTTGATGGCCGTCTGGCACACCTTCAAGGTATAGGCTACCTACTGCAAAAAATTCCAGGACTCTAGGCATTCCCCTAGAAGTAGTTCGAAACGGCAGAAGTGGGTCCGGACGGACAAAATGCAAACAATAGCACATTTTTTTTAAATTCTTAAAAAATGCGCTAAAAACACCTGAAGGGGTTTGGATAAAATTTAGGGTGATATGGATTAACCATCTTCATGGTTGTTGAGGATGTTAAAAGTTTAGAAGAGCCATAACGGCATACACGATACACTGACCAATATGGCATAAAAAACTAAAAAAGTTTATTACCTACAGAAAAGTTTATTACACAGAATTTTATGATCTACAAACAACAATTATTTACAACTTTACTGTAAAATAATTAGGGGAGAAAATATTTCAATATAAAGAAATTACCATTGAAATACTTACCTATGGCCATTGCTTAAATTTAAACAATGCTATGGCACCTACGAGTAAAAATATGGCACAGACCTATGGTGCGTAAACCAATTCTATACCCTGTATATAATCCTCACTTAAACAGAGATGTCGCCAGTTAACGAATTCTTCGATGTAGTTTCCTATGGTGGCGATTTGCATGGGAAAATTACGTCATCAATTTAATGAAGTACAGAAATGGTGGCTGTGGTTGTCGGGCGTTTCGAATTTAATTAATTAGATTCACCGGCTAGTTAAGGTATTCCGCGTTTAAGTGCGTATTTATTATTAGTGTGTTAAGGTCTGTACAGGTAGGCACTTTTTTCTAAGCTCTCACGATGATGTCCTTTCATAAAACACCTGTTTTTTCTTATTCCTTGTAAGGATTTGGTTTCCTTCCTTTATACATTGTATTACTTTTGCTTGGATTTCTATCTTTCAATAATGTATTAGTCTTAACATTTTCTGTATGGAATAGTCCAATTTCGCCGCAATTTGCGTCTTAAGTTGACTGCATTGATTTTTATGAATCATGGGATTTGACTTGTGTTTTTTAGAACTGATGATGTCTGATCGTAAAGCCGAATTAGAACGTAAAAAAGCAAAACTTCAAGCTTACCGTGAGGAGAAGGACAGGCGTCGGAAGGAGAAAGAGCTTAAAGATGTCAAGGAGGCTACGAGTAGGATGCTGGGAGGCGCCGGCGACCAAAAGGAATTGGACGAGATGTTAAGTTCACTAGGTGTTGCGCCGGTTTCCGATATTCTCTCAAGTTTGTCTAGTGCTAATTCGTTAACTCCAGATAATAGTATCAATCACACCCCAGACACCTCTCTACAAACGAACGGTCTTGTTAATAAGTATGAGTATTTTTTATTAGTCATTGCATTTACACTCATATTCGTATATTGCAGCGTCTATTTGGGGAAAAGAAAAACTCCTCAGTTGAGTGTTGTGGCTGTGCAATCGACAAGTATTCCACCGAAGGAAACTGTGTCATATACCAAACAAACTCAGACAACTACCAGCGGTCATGAACGGGATGGTAAGCGTTTATGTGTGTACCTGTGTGCGTTAGTGACTGTGAAGTTAGTGTCATTATCAAATGAGAAATTTTGTAATAGTTCTATGTGCACTCGTAATACCTACAGTTAGTAAAAGATTTGAAGTTGAAGAAATGAGGTACCAATTTCGTATGGCAGCTCATTTTTTGAGAACTCATTTAGTGTGATTAGTTCAAATTAACACCCCTCAACACTTCTATATTTTTAGAGAGGTTTAAAAAAACTTCTCAATACTGAATGGACCGAAATTTAAATTTGAAAAATCCCCATTTACGACTGGGATACATCATTGTAATATCCATAGTTTTACATACATTTCAGAAATGTTGAATTGAAAAGTTAAACTATTTATGGTACCTACCTTTTTAAATTTGCATTTTTCTTGATAAGTAAGCACCACAGTGAAAAATATTAAATACAAAAATTGTGTGTAGATGAGCTGTCCAAAAAGGCCATACCCCATGTGTAGCGTTCAAAATGAAAGCGCTAAAGAGCATTTTCTTAATGTGATACTATGATTATATCTCGGATTATATAGTCAGCGGCTAAAATATGGAACAAATTCATTTGAAAATCAGGCGTATCATAATTTTTCTTTTGGAATTAATTTTTGCTCTAAAGAGAAAATATATGTGTGTCAAAAAGTAGGTTTTGAGTTGATTCTTAAAATGGAACAGGATTTTTTTAATCCATTTTTGAATTCTTAGTCAAATTCTACAATAAAAATAATTCGAACATGGATTTAAAAAAATACTGTTCCATTTAAAAAATGAACTATGGTATCAAAATCTACTTTTTGACGCACCCTGTATATTTTCTCTTTAGTGCAAAATGCGCAAGAAAAAATTATGGTAGACATGTTCGAGCATTGTTTTCAAACCAGACACCTGAATTTGAAATGAATTTGTTCCATATCTTATCCGCTCACTGTATAATAATAATAATAATAATAATAATACCTCAAGAACAAAGAAACACCATAAACACAAGTAACGCAACATGTACTACAAAGACAGGTCCATCCAATAAAGTTACACGCCCTAGCACAGTTAAAAAACACAATACTCCTTCTTCTCAGAAACAACCCACTCGTATACAACCGAAACGCAAAAACCTTAACAGCACCACAGGCTCACAAAATACTGCAATATCTCCACCAAAAACCCAAGCAACCTCACAAATACGACCTCAGGAACAAAGAAACACCATAAATACAATTAAAAAACACAAAACTCCTTCTTCACAGAAACACACCACGTTATCACAACCCACTCGTATTCAACCCAAACGCAAAGCCAAAGAAACACTTACACAATAAACTCCATTTAATAAAATTACAGGAATTATTATAATGATTTTTTTTGTTTTGTTTTCCTCTTTCCTGATAGCGTTGGCTATTGTGCCCATCAATAGGTATGTTGGTAAGTACGAATTACATTATCCCTAGATGTCCAATGTACGTGTGTGATATTTTTTTTTTTTTTTTTTTTTTTTTTTTTTTTTTTTTTTTTTTTTAAGGACCCTACATAACTTCACCAGACACAGACACAGACACTAATCGTTACTTGATTTTAATCCGTGCGATTAGTTAACCAGGCTAGACCTGAGTTCTCACAAGAAACACCGACCATAATAATAATAATACATAACTTCACCAGACACAGACACAGACACTAATCGTTACTTGATTTTAATCCGTGCGATTAGTTAACCAGGCTAGACCTGAGTTCTCACAAGAAACACCGACCATAATAATAATGAATCGACACAATACATCACAGCTGGAAAAAGACAACTTTTAGATTATGGGCTCGAACAGGGAAATTTTATAAATTCCCTGGACGAGAATGAATCTTAAGTATCAATATCATAATACACTATCGAAAAATTTTATCTTCAAGACATTTAAGTTACTCCGCGCAATTGTTGTCTCACCCTGTACATAGCACACATACTCGATGTAGCATTTCTGATAGCTCGGTCAATCTAAATATAAAAAAAACTTCAAAGTTGGCTAAAATGTTCTTTGGACCTTTCTCTTGAATATTTCTCTTTCTTTATCTCGTGCGGTTTTAGCTTGCTCCCGCTAAGGCCATTTAGCCTTTGGCCGGCAGCATCTGCATAGAATGTGTTCTGCCCCTTCATTTGCCTGTTCACAAAGTCTGCAATAATTTGGCCAGTCGTCCTGGTCCTGGCCATCAAATTTTGCTGTCTAAAAGGGGGGCGCCCCCTCCACAAATTATTTAATGAGATGCTGTTTGTGAAAGTAAAACGCGCATAACTTTTACATACGACAACGATTCTGTCTCAGATTTTGCATACTCATGCCTTTAGTGGTGCCAAGTTAAACTTTAGAAAATTTGGGGGGGGGTAAACACATGTTCTACCCTTCATGGTATTCTAATGAAAGGTCTTATCAAAATAAATTAGTTTGTACAAACAATAACTTTCCCGTGCGACTCTTTCGAGATCAGTGGGCCGGGGAGGGGGGGGGGGTATTCTAATTAAACGACACAATGAAAGGAACCGTTTCCTACCAACTACTGTCCTTCTTTCTGTCCTCTTATCAAAGTACGGGGTGAGGGGGAGGGCGGGAGGGGTACCATCATGGTACTCTAATGAAAGGTCTCAACGAAAGGAATTCATTTCTACCAACCATAGTCCTCCTCAACCTCTTATTGTGATCACGTATATTCCCTTATTATACCTCAAGAATGGATTGTAGGAAGAGGGTACTCACAAAGGGCGATTCAGACGTCTGCAAGAAATATATCCATTGGTGATGTCAAAACAAAAGCTATTTCGGTTAAAAAAAATGCGCTTTATCTGCACAGGAGTTGTGCACAATCTATAATTGTTTTATGTGGCTTGTGTGCAGTCTACAGAAGGGCTCCGGCCCTATTGACTACCGCCTGGCGCCTTGTTTGACCAGTTCATCTGCCATTATGTTGCCTGCAATGTGCAGTTTGAATGTGAGAATATCTATTTTTGTCCCTTTCTTGATTTATGAGGTTTATGACATAGACCTTCGCTTGAAAGACTGTGGCTTTTTGTCCCAGTGATTCCGAGACAACCACACAAACCAACAATTTTTTTAGGAAAATAAGACATTTTGTACACAACACAACAAATAAACCGCTGGGTTATAAAATTATGCATATCTTTTCTGTTCATTATAATATTATACAATAAGTACAATGGAGGTATGCCACTGGTCTCGCACGGCAAAAATGCAAACAGCTGATGGAGTAAACCAAAAGTAATCACAGTTTTGTGCACACAAGAAAATGGCCGCCACATGAAAATTTGCTTCAACGCGCAGCATTGCCCTTGAAGGATATTATCAGTCCCCCTTAATCATAGTCTCAGGGTGCACACGCATTTAGTGGAATTTATTATTTTATTTTGTGTGTTAAGTAGAACTAGCAAGAAAATTCATAATATTAAAAAATGAGGTTCGTTTTTTTTACTGTGCTGTGATTATTTCCAATTTAACTAAACAGATGTTTTTCACCTATAGGGCGATTCACACTTAGAGTTCATTATTGGTCTTATGATTTAGTTTTAGACATACATACTAAACTTTAGTGTGAATAAAAGTATAGAATTATTATGGATACAAAAAGAGCTGGTCAGAAACCTATCGAGTTGGCAGTGGGCGTAAATGAAAAGTAACTATTCTCTAATGAATGTGGGTGCTTCTAAAATATTAGCCTGAAATTGAATTTCGGAATATTTAAATTTTGGCGCATATTTTATTTCATCTAGGATTCTAAACCTATTACGAGTGCAAACAGAATTATTAAGAAATTCTCAAATTTTCGATAATGCTGTAGTAATTTTACAGTCACGTTTATTTATTAATGTTGTGAGTGGATATTGCAGTAATACACAATTTGATAAAAACTCATGGATTGCATATTATATTTTAACACAAGATTCGTTAGTAAAGTTGGATGATTACATATCTCAAACTATGAGGAAGTAGATCAATTAAAATTTTTAATTTACACTCCCACCGCAGATAAGTAACAAAAGTTAACCGTACCACTAACATATCTACAATTGGGAAGGAAACTTACATTTTTTTATGTTTGTTATTTTTTGGTTGCTACACATTGGCTGCACTATTTAGTTAAAAGTTACTTTTATTTCAACTCTGAATAACATATCAAAATCGGTTCATTAAAGTATGATTTCTTTTGTCATTGTTATCGACGTGTCTTTATAAAATTAAGAGTAATTTGAATTTGGGTTGCGAAACGCAATATTTCATTATCTTTCCTAACTCCACACTACTGGTATGTTATTTGGGGTCTTGCTTATCTATGATTTCTTAATACAAGACACACACACACGTTTCTAGGGCACACGCTTTAAACTCTCCAAACCACTATTTTTACAAAAGAAATGACTGCGTAGCGGTTTGTATTATCTGTTCTTTTGGTACAAGAAAATTTCCTGTTTAAACTTGACTCATTTCAGCTGCTTGCTAACGAATCAGTACAAATACTGACAGATTACAAGTCAACCACAAACAATTCGTCAGGCACATTTTATTTGAGATGATAAATTTTAGAGTATAGGTCCTTCTGGTTATACAGGGAGTTGATAACAACTTGTTTAGTTTAAATGGAACACCCTATATATTAATTCATTTTTAGTAATGAATTTTGAAAGTACCGTCTGCATCCACTATTTTTTTTGTAAAGTCAAAATAACTTAAAAACCATAATTTGTAGATATCGACATGTGGGTATCAAACAAAAGAAGTGAAATTTCACGTAGAATCCAAAAATGCAATAAAAAAATAGGCGTTGCCATTTAAAATAACGAACTTACTAGCTACTTCCGGTATTTGAGGAAGTACCACCATTTTGAAAATATTTTTCATCGATTCAGCCTTGAGAGTAACTCCTAAGTAGACATTTTCAAAAACCTACCTATTTCACTTTCCCAGAAACATTTAACTAAAGCTCCCTAAAATACACTATCTACTGTATTTTACATAGTAATGACAATACACAGTGTTTCACCCACAGTGTAAAATAGTACGAGGTATGTGGATTACTACTTCTTCAGTATATGGCCGATGCAATGTAAGAGAAACGGAAAATATAGGCTTATAGTCTATCACACTTCCACTAGTGGAGTGTTATGGAGTTTTCTTACCAAAATCACGTTCGCGCGCGTTTACTTCAAAACTCTGGATCAACCGATATAGATACAAAAAAATGTGTGGATGACTAAATTTCATGTGATATACTGAGGCAATGCTTTCTATATCATTTTTATATTCCCTCGACCGCAATTATTACTTTACAATTTAACCAGCAGTTTATTTTCCACTGTGCTCTCGATCTATTTAGTCTGATCATCATATTTGATGCCAAGCGTTCATACTCTTTAACCCTAAGAAATCAAATAAGAATCATTATTTGAAAAATACGCTGTAAGGTGTTTAAATCTACTCTTTTTACAAATGTCTTTATTTTCATGTCAATATTTTTTTCGTCACAAATATAAAATACTATTGTGCAATTGAGCAAAGTCCTTTGTTGATGCGATATGACTCGAAGTATCGAGTTTTTTCAACCCAACTGTGATTCAGAAGTTATGCCATGTCACAATTGATAGTTATATGAACTTTGTTTAAATGTTGTAGCTAATTGGCATTTTTTCTATTTTATTTCCGTAGGAAAAACAATTTAGGGATCATTTGCAGCAGTGATATGGTGTAATAATTCAGTCTGTGTTTTTTGATGGAGTTTGTAAAAATTTATGTAAGCTGTTCTGAGACCGCTAGTTTATTATAGAAATAATTTTTTATTATGTGTATGTAGAGTATTACGAGGGTAGCAGACGTTTTGAAATAAAAAATTATCAAGTGTAAGAAACTTCTATTATATACATTTGAAAGCTACACTCTTGGGCTATTTTTCAACATAGTCGCCATTCATATTCAGGCACTTATCATAGCGCGGTACAAGTGTTTTGATTCGAACTTTTATAAATCCGCCGCCTGAGACTTTAACCACTGGTTATCGCCGGCTTGAAGTTCAGCATCACTGTCCATGTGCTGCGTTGCGAGCAAGGTCTTTATCGCTGGAAAGAGGTGGAAGTCGCTTGGCGCTAGATCAGAGCTGTATGGAGGGTGATCCTTTCTCCCATCCAAGAACTGTCCAGTATGGTTGACTGTGTACGGGTGGGCGTTGTCGTCGAACAACAAAACTTCCAGCCATGAAGACCTGGCGCAACACATGGACAGTGATGCCAAACTTCAAGCTGCGATAACCAGTGTTTAAAGTCTCAGGCGGCGAATTTATAAAAGTTGGAATCAAAACACTTGTGCCACGCTATGATAAGTGCCTCAATTTGAATGGCGCTTGTGTTGATCAATAGCCCAAGAGTGTAGCCCCCAAATGTATACAATAATAGATTTTCTTAACAAGTTTAAAATTTTTTATTCCAAAATGTCTGTTACTTTCTGGACAACCCTCGTACTAATAATATTGTACCATTGATGAAATAACCATGTCTTTAGACACAATTAGTACAAGTTCTAATAAGAGCAAGAGAATTATGCAAACTTTGAAGTTTCTTACAACAGAAAAATGATTCTCTAATAAATGTTTGCTTTGGGTTAGATAAGGATAGTATTAATTTTAGTACTTTTTATGTAAATATTTCACACATACACACAAATACATATACAAGACAACAAAAGTACATATGAGTAGTAATATTTTCTTAAACAAAAATGTTTATATTTTCTGCTGCCAGAGATTTTACCATACTCTACTTGGAGAAAGTGTGAGTACTACTCTGTTGTATCCTTAAATTGTTTTTCATTTCATCTCGGGGTTTTAATTTCCGCTTTTAGATGGCCTTTTTTTGCGGCTAACATTTTTTGAGCTCGATGGAAAAACAGTGTTTTTAATTTATTCGCTTCTTAGCTACTGAGAGTTGTAAAAACATCTTGTTTTTCTTTTAAAGAGCTCATAGGTCTTAATAGAATGACATGTCATTATATGTGATGCTAACAAGGATCTTCTTCATCTTCTTCCCCACTTAAAGGCTACATGGAGGACTGGTGGAGGCCTCGCAAAGGTATTGTACATATTTTTCTACAAACTTTTATCTGCACGATTCTTGTTTTCTAGATATTGTGTGTGATATTTGTAAGTTACTAGAATGCTACGCTATTTATGTGAAAAGGCAGGTGGGAGGGACCACAAAGTCTTCCAATATTGTTTAAACTGAAAAGTAAAACTATATCTTCTTTGTATACTGCACTACATTTCTCAACTTTCATGGAGTTGCTTCAGCTGAACTTTCTATATGGCGCTCTATCACTAAGTAACTTTTGTGTTGCTATTTCTAGTAAATGAAATTTTGCATGTAAATGTAACGCAGCACACCATTTTGTGTTGCGTTTACAAATACCTCTTTAATTTGTAGTGAATTATTTAAATTATTCTAATTTTGGCCATGCCGTTGTATTGTTTTTTTTTTAAGTATACACATGCTCTTTGTTAATATTTGTGGCATTAAAATCAATTGTGAGAATACACAACAAATTGCTGTTATGGAAATTAAAACCTTTTTGTGTATATATTTTGCAGGCTAGTCCTATGTCACTTTACTTGTTTTGGTTTCGGACATAAAATACTTTTTATCAAGATTTATGTCAATTTTCAGTAACATTTGTGCTTGAAGTTGTATCTGGATAATGTCCACAAGGGCATATTAATGAAGAGAATTGATTTGTTGGTTTTTGCCATAGGTTAGTAGTACTTTCTGTAGGCTTTTCAAGAAAGGGTATGGCTATACGTCTACTACGCCGTCATATGACATTTTGGCAATGAGAAAATGCATGTGATATTCTTTGTTTCATCATACGAAGAGTTTTGTGATGGTGACAGTACCAAAATTAATTTTTTTACCAAATTTAAAAAACTGTATACACAAAAGATGCCGCACGGTCCCTTCTTTTAATTTAAAGTTTTCAAGGGAGTGCTGCGATAATGCATAATAACGCTAAAAATGAACTTATTCCATACATATGGCAATAATAATACTATTTTTCTGTTGAAAGTCACCCAAGCCATTTTGAATTATTATTATTAATATGCTCCATGTGGACTTGTAGAGTATTCAAAGTTCTCACAGATCTATGTTTGATTTTATAAAGTTAATGGAATTTGTTTATGGCGTCTACCTACTAAGAATAATAACAGCAATATTTTCCCCTTATTGAAAAAATATGTATTAAGATATGTGACCTGTGTGTCAGTTGAATAAACTGTCAAACTCAACATAGGATATGTCATAGGCGTTTGTATATTTTTGACAAAAGTGGATCCATTTAGAATTTTTGTTTATTCTCAAAACTTGATTTTAAGATAAGCCACATAATTGGTTAAAAAATAAACAAGTGTAGGTTTCCTTTCATTATCATAGACAATTATAATTTACACCTTGTAAGTATGTGGTAGAATTGATTGAGATAATTTGATTTGAATACAATTGGTAGGAGGGGTTTCTTTAGGTGATCAAATAATTAATTATTCCTTTCCTTTCCCAGCTCATGCAACTGATTATTACGGTAAGTTATGATTTTACCTACTTTATTTTGCTTTCTGCATTTCAATTAGGACCTTCCTCTCTTCCGATTTTGTTATAATCCTGTTTTACTTTTGTGTTTGAATGATTAATAGTTTCATTTACTCCCTCCTCTTTGTTTGGATTTTATAACAGCAATTTGAATGATGGAAAATAACACAAAATGCTTTTTGTTGGTTGCACAGGATCGCGTTCGAAGTTTACGTCATATATTTTTGTAACTGTAAGAGCATTTCAGCATTTTACTAAGAGGGTTGTGAATGTTTGGATGTGTTTTAAAAGAAATTTCACTCTTAAATTTGTATAAATTCATTTAATTTAATTCTAATGTTAAGGTGTAATTTCTTTTAATTGCAACATTCAGTGCGAATGGAATTCTTCGTATTCTGTAATACACCGAGTATGATTGCTATACAAGTTTTTGGGACGGGAGGTATTATTTGCTTGTATTTTATGTATGTTTACTAAATTTGCTTTTTAACAGCACGCTTTGTCACTAATAAATAGCTGAGGTAAATCCATTCCCTCTTGCATTAACTTTTTTTGCTTTATTTCTATCGGTTGTTTGATTTGATATACCTGCATAATATTTAATGCAAGATAATGAATGGTACTTATTTAATTAGCAATTTTTCAAAATTCTTAGTGCAGCCAATACGACAACCTAAATTTTATTCTAATAATCCAATCCCTACTGATACATGTTTCTTTCCCCTCAAGACGAGTACAATCTAAATCCGGGTTTAGAGTGGGAGGACGAGTTCACAGGTAGGTGGCTTTTCCGTCTCGCTCTGTCTTAATAAACGCAAATGGTATTTATTATACATCATCTAATGTGCTTGCTTGTGTAAACATTAATTTTCGTAACCTAATCATGGATTTTAGATTTTTTGTTATAAACCTGGTATCTAAATGCATTTCTTGGTAGTTTAACTTCATTTTGTTACTAAAGTGGGAACGCTATTGGATGATAAGTTTATGGAATGCTTCCGCTATATGCATTTTTAAAGGAGTAGTTTTAGTGGAATGAGGACACATCTAGCTTGGTCATTTCTTGATTGTATCACTGCAGATCTTTGTATAGCACTGATATATAGAAAGATGATAATGTTTACATGTTATATTATAGTATGCAATGAATATTTCCTCTACAATATCCATACCTTGTGTGACAATTCCTTCATGCTTTATGCAACTATGTGTTTAACTCCCTAATTTTTTAATTGAAGTGTACTGTTAATGCTTTTCCCTTGATAGTGATGGATGAGTAAATGTATTCTTGACTTACACTTCAATTAATAACAAATAATAGCAATAATAAAATACTGCTTGTTTGATGAGATGTACCTTCACAATGTAAACAGTACATATCGTCATGTTTTTAGTTCTACCATGGATAATCACATGAGTAGAAGTCTGGGCGTAATTTATTTTACATCACTACGATGACGGAACATAAATGTGGTTTAAAGGTTTACATTAAATGGCAATTTCTGTACATTTCATTCTATTAATTTGACTTGCTATTTTCCTATATCATCATTATCTGATTCATGTTTGAAATAATCATAATATCTATAATAATAATAATAATAAATCATTTTTGGGATAGATTTGTCACTTCTTTATATGAACAAATGTGTATTATCCAGGTAGAACATTGTTTCCATTAGATAAATTCTTTTTTACTTTGTTTCCCTGTTTCCAACCATTCACCAGAATTGTAAATTAGTTTTTGTAAATATATTGCTATTATTTGCATTGACAAATATTTGAATGTCATTACTATTCGAGTTACTAACAATGTGTGATTAAAATTAACATTCAGATATTTGAACTGTACTGTGCTTCAGTTCCGAGAGTAACCTTAGAGCTAGATATAGTATGAAAGTTAGTGTGATTGATAAAAAGAGTGGGCAGCTTATTTACCACAGTTTTGACATATGACGACGGGCAAGGTGAAGACGAAGAGGGCAGTCTTCCGCATCTTGGTGGATTTGGAAGTAAGCTGCCTCCGGGAATTCTTCCACATGGTCTCCCGCAAGTTAAAGAAGTTCAACCCGCCGTCACGGCCGTGGAGCAGGAACAAGCAAAACATGAAGTTAAAGAAAGTAAGAGTCCACCTCACATTTAGACCACAATGACCATATCCGCAACCTCAAATTATGATCAAAATTCTTGATTCATTAAAATTTTTCTGCAACTCAAATGAGTTGCCTTCTCAGGGGCGATGCATCGCACTCCACCTCACAGACAACACTTTTTTTCGGACTTGGCACTGATACGGCGCGAATTTCTTTAAACATTTTTTAATGTACTTATCTCGGTAGCTAAAATTAATTATTTGGGTACATGATGTAAAATGTAAATGATAAAAAAGTATGTAGGGTAGTGTACACCCCTAAATTAAACACTACAGTTTAAATGTTTATTGACCAGTATCAATGGCTTCATACATTGCTCTGATTTTCGTGTGCGGGTCGCGCGCCTTAGCAAGTCATAATAAAACGTGATGTTTTCATGTTTAACGAACTTCCGGTTGACATTTATTAAAGTGAAGTTACATTGGTCGGGGTTATGGTCACAACCCATCCACCTCAAAATGACACCTGTGATTCCACTCAAAATTTACAGTTCGAGAGCTGAGTGAAGAGGAAAAGCAGATGATTATTTTATCAGAAGACTTTCAACGGTTTGTGGATCGTGCTGGAAAAATTGTCGAGCGTGCTTTAGGTGAAACTGTCGATATTTATACTGATTACATAGGCGGTTCTGGCGAAGATGGACTGTAAGTTATAAAATGTTGGCTTACGCACAATTTAATGTTTTACATTAGTGACGAAAAATCTCATCAACGAATTGCATTAAATCGATGGTTCTACGATGAGAGATGGTCAAAAAATCGTTGTGTTACTTCGTTAGATTGGTGCCCGCAGTACCCAGAATTACTTTTAGCGTCATATAACAACAACGAAGAGTCTCCAAATGATCCAGATGGTGTGGCTTTAATTTGGAACACTAAATTTAAGAAGACCACTCCCGAGTTTATTTTCCATTGTCAAAGCGGTGTAATGTCAGCAACATTTGCGAGGTTTCACCCAAATTTAATATTAGGAGGTACTTATTCCGGGCAGATTGTGCTGTGGGATAATCGTGTACAAAAAAGAACGCCCATTCAACGAACCCCCTTATCGGCAACTGCGCATACAGTGCGTACACCTTCTTATTGTTAAACTGACTATAGTAATGATTTTCCAGCACCCCGTTTACTGTGTTAACGTAGTCGGCACACAGAATGCACATAACCTCATTAGTATATCGACAGATGGGCGATTATGTTCATGGTCTTTAGATATGTTAAGTCAGCCACAAGAGACTTTAGAATTACATAGGATGCAAGGGAAGGCTGTTGCCGTAACCTGTTTAGATTTTCCACATTCCGATGTAAATAATTTTGTTGTCGGTAGTGAAGAAGGCGCCGCTTATTCTGCATGTCGACATGGAGCAAAAGCTGGAATTGTAGATACGTACGATGGGCATCAAGGGCCAATTACTGGTATTAGTGTAAATGCTGTCCAAGGTGGCATCGATTTCTCTCATCTATTTTTGACTTCTGCAATCGATTGGAGCATGAAATTGTGGAGTTTGAAGGTGTTTTGTTTCAATAAAATAGCATAATCTTATTTTTGTATTTAGGATGCCAAGCCAATATATTCCTTTGAGGATAATAGTGATTATGTATTGGATGTCGCTTGGTCACCAACTCATCCCGCCTTGTTTGCGTCTGTGGATTGCGGCGGGCGATTGGACTTATGGAATCTTAATCAAGATACAGAAGTTCCTGCAGCCAGTATATACGTCGATGCAAATCCAGGTTTGAATAAAGTATCTTGGACGCCATCTGGATTGCACGTTACTGTTGGGGATAATCAGGGGAAAATTTGGGTGTATGACGTTGCAGAGGTAAGATTTCTCCCAACATTGTGTATGCATTATTTTCATGCAAATTTATAGAACTTCGCTCATCCTCGACATGATGAATGGAATAAGTTTTTGTATACCATACAAGAGCTACGGAATAGTCAAGTGGATGAAGAATTAGAAAAATTAAATCTTTCAGTTACAAGTCCTCCATTATCAAGTATGAGTTCATTATCATTACCGCTACGATAAATAGAAATTAATATTTGCTGTGAATTTCATTATTAAATGAAGATGATCTGTAATATTCATCTTTGTAATTAAAAGAAGAAGAATATTTATTTATGAAGCCAATGTTCACTATTTGTTAAGTAATTAGATAATTTGCAGCTGTACTAATACTACATTATAATATTTAGCAGTTGTGATTCCTCGTCTATATATTATGTATATATGGATTAGGTTGTAATAATTCTTTGTCTCAGTTATGCGTAACTCCAGTGCTAAATAAAACAAATTTGGTTTTATGCTGAAATAAACGTTTCGAAAAGTTCTTCATTCAGGGTTCGCGTGAATACTCTCAAAGCATTGTCACTTTATTTTTTACCTTTTTTGCACAGATTGGCATGTACATAGCTAATTTATTGTTTTGTTATATGGTATTTAATTAAATTTTTTTACTTATTTAAACATATTTTTTATTTCTATTTTGCACACATGCTTGGATGTTTCTTTGATTTTTTGAGAAAGCATGCATAATATATCGCATATTACATACCGCTTTTTCATAATGGAGAAATGTGGTGCCTTTTTAGGAGTAACAGCAGCGGGCATGTTATTTCATTTCATAATTCCTTTCCAGTCTTACCAAGGCAATCGAATGTTCATTCACATTATACACAATTCCACTTCTTTTTACTATGGGATGTTCTTTAGGGTTCCACTTTACTTAAACACTCGATTGACTGGATGTTATACTAATATTAATCGTAAGTTAATAGTATGAACATTCTGATAAGTCTGTAATCTGAAGGTCTCGACCACCTGAAATTATAGCATTTGTCAACTGGGAACTGTTTGGGCCATTATATATCAATATCGTTTATGAGAAACTAACTATGCACTGGTTTGATGCTACTAATTCTTTGCCTTGTATGTCAATGTAAATTGTGAAAAGTTGAAAGAAATAAAGACTAAAGTTTCTTTCTGTTATGTAAATGGCAGGGGCCCAATATGCTGGTAGGCCGTAATGATTAATGAAGCAGACTGCCCCTGTAATTATCTATAACTTTCCTTTACATATTGCTATGTGCAATGGCAACTGGATACCAAACCAGCCCCATAAACACCTGTCCAGATAGCTCAACAAAACACAGGTACTCGAAAAACCTCCCACACGAAATGATTATAATTTTTCCAGTGCATGTCCAGCGTCCGCTACTGCGAAAAATCTATAAGCCTTTACTTATTATTAATCTGAGAAAACTCGACAGCCTTGATCAACTCCACAATTCCAAAGAAATATATGAAACATTTTTATTTAAACGCCTAGCATAACTAGATACCAACAAAAAAATGTATCATGAAAACTCATATCTTGGGTCGTAATTTGGGCTCGATTAAACAACATAAAATATTTACAGAGGAAACAAATCTATTAGAAAAGATCAAGATCAATAGTAAATAAATAAAAATAAGGAGCCCACAGGGCTTATAAACAAAGTACCATGCATAAGCGATCGAATCACAAATTACTTATAGAAATCTTAATTACCTACTTGTGTTAATAATCAAAAATATCCGATCATATATAACTGTGATTTTCAACAAACAATGCACAACCAAAAACTAACTGATGTTGTTTTTGGAACTTACCTTCTTTACTTGCACTGAAATTTCGATTTAGATGACACCGACTTTGAATTACAGATGTACAATTGGCTCTGATGATGGAAAAAAGTTTTATCGCGACTTAAGTCTCTCTCTTCAAATTAATTAGCGAATATCGAAATTTATCGCACTGACCAGAGGTAACATTTTACAAAAGAATGATCTTTTAACACGTAAGTTCTTTACAATCAAATAAACAAAATACAAGCGATTAGTTAAACAATGAATTAACAACATTAAATAATTCTTAAACAAAATCACATTGACTTAAAATATGATCGAAATTGCATTCCATCTCAAATTAACGACAACATCTACCCTTAAAAATAAATGAAATTCCACATACAGGATGGCCCATTGTTATTATAGGTGCTGAAGCCAAACATAACGTCTGCATTTTTCAAAAGATTGATATCGGAAAAGTTGTTTTTACAGGCCTTTAAATTTTTCCCAAAAAAAAACAAACAAATTAAATTTGGTTTCTGAAATTGCAATTGTTTCCCCTGTTAATTATATCTTATATCCAAGTTTAAGGGGGAAAAAACTCGCCCTATGTAACCTATACAAGTAGTGGTGTATCCTCACCAATCTTCCCCTTGTCACTTCCTGCCCACACTGCAGAAGTTCATTCAAATGAGTAAACATTTTAACATTTAAAAGTTCATTAATTTTCACTTGCATAAAGCTAAACAAAAATAAGGATAGATACAGGGTGTTCAAAACGTCTGAACTTTTGAGATGCAGGGTGTTAAAGTTTTAAGAAAAAAATCATTTTTTATTGTTTTCATTCCACGTGTAAAGCAAGAAAAAATAAATCTAAAAGAGAAGGACGCAGTGTAACAGGCTAACAGCTAACTGAGCATGCGCCCCCCCCCCTCTGTCCCCGCGATTAATTACACAAATATTACTTAGGGTACTTTTGACTTATTATACTACTTTTTTAGGCAACCATTTCCAATGTTGTTTGTTTACATGCACTTCTACGTCACAAATTTCGGGTGGTTGACTCGTGTTGGCAGTGAAAGGTCTAGCTAAATAGTGTACACTATATTCAACCCTAGGATTTTCAAGGCCCTCGGGGTCCGACGCCCGAACAGTCTTTTCAGACCGAGTTGCCATTGCAATCTGACAGCGAGGGGTAAACCGCGATGGGAAATCAGTGTACACGTTTGAGGAAATCTATGAGAAATCATAGGAATTCCGGAGGAACTCCTAGGAAAGCTAAGAATTCCAAGGAATTCCATGTGTATTCAGGAGGAATTCCAAGGAAATCACAGGAACTCCGAGGAAATCAAGGGAACTCTAAAGAAATCAAAGGAACTCGTGCTGCATTTTATTATTTAATTTGGTCTTAACTAATTTTTTTATTTGTTTATGGTATTTTTCTCATTTAATAATGAGTTTTTCTCATTGCAAATAGGTCTATTAAAATATAAAATAGTGTTTCGTCTAAGGTCGTGTCTTTATCCGTCCGTCCGTCCATCCGCTAACTTTGCGACGCTACTAGTTCTTTATCTTAAGAGCTATTGTTCTACTTTTTTTGCTATTTGGTTCGTTATGGTGTCGAGTCTTGTACCAAGGAAGGAATTTTTTCTGTACCGCTTACAAAAAAAGTTATTGTAAAAAAAACAAAAAACCGTTTTTTACATGTTCCATAATTTTACCCTTTTGCCGTTTATTAACGATCCTAGAGATCGTTTATAATTTTGCATTGCTATCTGTCGCCTGCCGGTTGGTCTCTCCGTCTGTTCCTTTGTCTGTCTGTCCATCTATCTGTCCGTGTGAACGATAACTTTGTTTAGAAATGTTCGATCGCTTTTACATCTCCGTTAGTTATGAACTGAATTGCATGAAATTCAATATGGGCATAGATTTAGCCATATAATACGCAATGCCAAAAGTTGAATCGAATCGATTCAAAATTCACAGTGCCCTTTTCGCATCTCGACCATTTATAAACCGAATTGCAAACTTTTTTACTTATAAAAGTATTTGAATGAAATTTGATACATAGGCACTTGGAATAAAGGAAAATCAAACGCCAATTTCAAAATTTGGTTTTGCGCATGCGCAGTGCCAACTTTTTTATTTATGGAAGAATTTAAACGAAATTTGATACATAGGCACTTGGGATAAAGGAAAATCAAACGCCAATTTCAAAATTTGGTTTTGCGCATGCGCAATGCCAACTTTTTTATTTATGGAAGAATTTAAACGAAATTTGATACATAAGCACTTCAAATAAAAGAAAATCAAACGCCAATTTCAAAATTTCGTTTTGCGCATGCGCAGTGCCAACTTTTTTATTTATGGGAGAATTTAAACGAAATTTGATACATAGGCACTTGGGATAAAGGAAAATCAAACGCCAATTTCAAAATTTGGTTTTGCGCATACGCAGTGCCAACTTTTTTATTTATGGAAGAATTTAAATGAAATGTGATACACAGGCACTTGGAATAAAGGAAAATCTAGCGCCAGTTTCAAAATTTTATTTTGCGCATGCGCAGTGCCAACTTTTTTATCTATGGAACTATTTAAGTGAAATTTGATACTTAGGCGCTTGGAATAAAGGAATATCTAACATTAGTTTTAAAATTTAGGTTTGCGCATGCGCAGTTCCAACTTTCTTATTTAGGAAAGCATTGATATGAAATTCTTCTCATAAACTGAAATTGAAGTAGCACGTCAACAATGGATTGCCCATGTGCAACGCTATCTTTTATATTTGTGGCCGGATTTTTACGATTTTAACAGAAGTTGCATCTTACAAATGGGAAATGAATGCAAGTGGAAATGCGCTTTATGTAAATCGTTTACGATTCCTTTTTAACTTGACACTTGACACTTTTATATTTTTTTTATGGTTTTACCTCGGGTTTTACTTACCAGGAAATTGTTAAATCAACGGAATAACAATGAAATAATTAAAAAACTTTAAAAAATCAGAGGAACTCACAGGAACTCCAAAAGAAAATCGACGGAACTCCAAGGAAATCAGAGGTATTTCGTGGAAGTTGGAGGAACTCGGAGGAAATCAGGGAAACTCAGAAGAAATCAAATGAACTCTGAAGAACTCGAAGGAACTCAGAGGAAATCTAATATTTATAGGAAATCAGTGTACAAAATTTGGGTTGCGGTTTACCCCCCGTCTGACAGTCAATATACCTAGCCAATCAACGATAGGATTGAAAAAATATGCATATTTTATCCAAAAAAACGATTGATTGTCGCTTACTGTTTCACCGGAAACAATCAGACATTATCTAAAATACTATGTTTTTTTAACCTACTTGGAGTTGTTAGAAAATGAAAAATGGGGATATCATAACGGATAGAGCATAAAAATGAGGATGGAATATAGTGTAAGTGTAAATTGTTGGTATTAAACACGGATTTCTTATATGAAAAACGATCAAATTTTAAAATTGATATACTTAAATAAAGAAAAAATTTTTAAAACTAAGTAAATCCATTTTTCAAATTGTGTTGTCAGAGAATGCTATATAGTACAAGTACAATATTTTTTTACGTTATTCGAAAAGAGCAATCAATTTCTGTAGGACTACATAAAATTCTGTATTCTGCAGGAAGTGATGGAATTCCTTGTGCTATTATGAAGCACATCACTAAAGATATCACGCCTGTGCTGTGTCACCTAATAAATAAATCTGCGGATGGCACATTTCCAAAGGTACTAAAATCTGCAATTGTGGTTCCGGTACACAAAAAAGGTGCCTCAAACGAATTTGGCAATTACCGACCTATATCTTTGCTATCCGCTGTCTCAAAAATTCTTGAGAAAGCGTTTTATGAAAGATTAATGAACTTCCTACTACACCACAAGATCCTGGATCCGCACCAATTTGGTTTCCGAAGAGGATTATTCACCGAAGATGAAGTCCTCTCATCTGTAAGTTGTATCTTCAGAAATCTAGAATTAGGGAAAAAAGTCACTGGACTTTTTTTTTATTATTCCAAAGCATTTGATGTGGTAGATCATGATCTCCTTCTATACAAACTACAACACTACGGAATCCGAGGTATTGCCTACGAATGGATAGTATCTTATTTAACTGGACGATCACAGCTTGTGTCGTCGTACTGTTCAAAGACTTGCATGTGCTTACAGCGCCCTCCGTTTATATTTTACAGTGCGCCATCTATGTTCGTAAACATAAAATTCACCTCTCCAGCAAGAAGCAGGAGCAGGACAAATATGAAATAAGGGGGGGAATGACCATATACCGCGACCGGCCCATAAATATACCTTGTCGGCAAAAAACTGTTACATATTATGCCTATAAGAGTATACAACAAATTGCATTTTATCTGCCTCTCACTTTAAAAATGCAGTGAGAAAGTTACTAATTGCGAAAAGTTATTATTCTCTAAAGGAATATTTAGAGGACGTATTATAAAGAAATTCGCATATGTATGTTAAATTCTTTGTTAATTGTTTTTACTTGTTGTATTTTGGGTTGTAATGACATATCCCACAACGCTTTAGTTCAAGGGACGAATAAAAATTATTATTATTATTATTAAAATATGGTTGATATACAACAAAATTGAGAAATACCAATATTTACAAAATGTATAAAATCAGCATGCTGTGTGCTGTCATAATATGTATGGTAGGTACCTGTTGTATTACACGGGGAGATGGTATCGTGCAGAAGTAAATCTTAAAAATGAAACATTGAACAAGTTATTGTAGGTCTCTTCTGTATGATATGGCACATGTCGTGCTAGATTTCACAAATTTTCTAAATATTGAATAACGAACATTTTGTATATCAATGATATCAACCATATGCATATTCTATGTAGGCGTACAGAAAATTGATTGCTCTTTTTAGATATTGTAAAATACTGTATTGCATTAGAAAAACAAAAGTTGCATCGATTTCCAGTTAAACCAGAAGTTTGAATATGCGATCAGATAGACTGTAATGTTACACACAATTGATTATATTTGACAAATTTATTGTGTGGCGCCAAATATAAGAGACATTGAGATAACCCTCTTATCTAGAATGCTGTATACCAAAGTTTTACTTAGGTTTTTGTGCGTGTCCCTTTGGATTTTCCAAAATACCTACCCTAAGATAATCGCTCTAAACGGGAGTGCGGAAAAATCTGATCTAGACAAAATTTTGTATCAGATGAAAACAATTAATCCAGTTAGTTTTAGATAAAAAAAACCATTAATGCTAGTCTAGTGTGGAATCCACTCTTTTTATTCGTTTGCATTTGAAAAACTCATGATCATACTATTTACAATGTCTCTTAACTTAATTAAATATGAAATTGAATGAATACATACATTATTTTATTATATTACTAAACATAATATTTTTTATTTCCCACTATTTACATATAGCACCTAAAACCTACGTTTTGGCTTCATCGGAGCAGTACACATTATAATAACAAACATTTTTTAACAATAACTTGGGATATTAAATGCTACGCATAAACCTTAGCCCCCAAGGTTCCTCGTGTCAGTTTCTCTTGTCGTCGTTGCTGTTGTTCCCAAGCTTTCTTCTGTCTAGCTTCTCTTCTGCTCTCTTTCAATGCTTCCCTAGCATCGAAATCGAGTGTCTGGTCTTCCCATCCCCTTTCGTCGTCCCATTCTTCCAATTCTTTGCTCTAAGATTAGACAAATTATAATTTGTTATTTTTAAACTTAAGTCTCACCATCACGTTAATGTTTTCAGGAGCCAGTGAAAATTTATTAGACGTCTCACTTTGCGTAACATTTGGATTTATGTACACTTTAGTCTGAGCTGTAATAGTGGGCATCATATCTTCGAAGAAATTTTCTTGTGTCTCTTGAGGTTCCTCTTTTACTTGACGAGCTGCAATAGCTTGTTGTCGATAATATTCTATTTGTTCTTGTACAGTTGTTGGTGTCGATGGTGTCGCCACTGGCTCATTCCAGTCATTCCAACTGTCCATTTCATTTGGGATACTTTTTTCAGAAATAACACCAACCTGGGTTAGAGGAACAAATTCATTTACTCGCTTTCGTCTTCGAAAACAACACAGTGCCCGTTTAAATATAGAAACAATAAAAAAGAAAAGGGATTTGAACATTTTAAAAATTATTTCTATCATGCTAATAACATTTTGGTTGTAAAACTAGAACAAGGAGTTAAAAATTAAAATTGTTAATGTTTACACATTACTTTGGCTTCGTGGAATGTTAGTTTACAAATAAAAAAAATGTTTGGGAATATAAAGATAGGTTAATTTGAACAAAAATTCTTGAAAAAATGTAAACGTCAAATTTTACTGTCATTATTCCCATTACTTAAAAACATCTTTCAGTTCTCACACACTCAAACAAATGCCGTTTGTACAAATGGTTTCAGTCGCATTCAATCGTTCAGATAGACAGATACATTAGTGATTAGAATGATTACAGTGGCACCACGCTCAGAAAGTCCCTGACAGGGCGTGTCCGAGGGCGCTAGAAATTTGGACCGTACATTCTGATACAAAATTTAAAAACACTTTAAGGGAATTACATACCTTATCAGATCGTAGATCCAAGCTATATGCGGCTTGAAAAAAGACGAGTTTGTATAAAACTGGAGACGGAAAACGTAAAATAAAGCAAATACAACAGGAAAAGTGTAAACTAAAATAACGTGAAGCGTCAACTGTCAAAACGGAATAATTAATAATTATGCCGCGGAATGTATCGCGTGGTTTTGCAAACTTTCTATTGGCCAGCTTGAATTATTTCAAAATTAGTTCGCATATTTTCCGGGGCTTTTTTGAGCATGGTGGCACTGTAGTGTAAGCTGTAAGGCGTGGAGCACGCCACATAGAGACACACGCGGCGCATGCAACCAAAGAGTATAGTTGTATACTCTTTGATGCAACACAACATAACCCACGGCCACACACACTTTGTGTACTGTTGAAATTACTGAACAATCTGCCATTGTGTCTCAGACACTGTGTGGCGTCAGATATGAGTTCACAAGAATAAAAAAAAATGTGCTACTTATATTGTTTGCGTTTCGTCCGTCCGTCCGTCCGGACCCACTTCTGCGATTGTGAACTATTTTTTGGGGAATGGGCCTCCAGTTCTGGATTTTTTTGCCTAATTCTTTCCTGAGATGCTGTTTTTGAAAGTAAAACGTGCATAGCTTTAACGCGCGACAACCAATTGGGTTAAGGGTGGAAATTAAATCCCCCTACAGTACGATTGGTAAACTAAACTTATTAGCTAGCAACTTATATCCATCTATAATGTTTTTCAAAAACTAAACACAAGAGAAGATTGTTACCTATACCTACTCTCTAACAGATGTCCTGTTACTGTATAAGGTACCGACTACTCCAGAAAGCCCCAAACTTTTTTTTACATATGTATAAGCATTAAGTACGGATATTTTGTTATTGCGTAGTACACTGAAATTATTCATTGGTGTAGTGTCATTACAAAGGTGCCAAGTTTAATTTTTAACATATCTACAAAACATTATTTTTGTTAATATTAGTATCATCATTCTCCAAATTCAGATAATTTGGGGACAACTAAGTGCATTTAAGTGATTATTTTAATTGTATGTTATTATTCATTTATTATAGGTATGTCAAACAGTGTCGGAACGAGATACGATTTTCATATCCGCATTTAATTCGAACAAAAATATGCACAATTATAAGCCATTCAAAACTTAAAAATAGCGGCATTCTTTTGTATTGTAAACGGTAGAAGTCTAAACACAGTTTATTTAAGGAGATGTAATCCTCTCTAGAACCTACCTGAAACCTTTTCCTTATTACAATTGCATGTTTACTTCTCAGAAGCAAGGGTATTTATGATCACAATGGTTTAAAACATAGTCGTCGGTCTTGTCCTTAAATGAAACGATACTTTAATTGTTTACAATAAATTTTCTAATTTTGGTGTGCAAGGTAGAAAAAACCACCTACACCTGTACTTGTTGGATCATTAACACCTTTTCTGCTATTCCCTTTGCATAACAAAATACATGGTATGATACGCTTATGAGGTGTAATATTGTAAAAATACACGACAAAAGCTCGTTACGACTAATTAGTTACTTATTGAAAATAAAAATGAGGTATCGTTAAAAGCATAATATTGCCATATCCTATCCACCTAGAAGAAAAAATTTTCAAATATCATCTCTGCACGAATGATAACGTTATTACAACAGCGAACAAACACCGCGACGCATTGCAAAATAAGCCTTACGATTAAATACCAGTACACCATCTTCAATCACCAGTAACTAAGATGTCTTCAGTTTTGAATAAGTTTTCTCATAGCATTGACTTATTTTCACCTTTTCCCCAATATAAAACCTACTTACGTTCACTCCTTATTAATTAATTAGTTACTGTCATATTGTAAAACAAAAAACGATTAAGATTTATAATTATTGATATGATTTATTTTCACCTTTCCTCCAATATATTAAAACTTGGTTATGTTCAATCCTTATTAATTATGTACCTAGTTGCTGACATTTTCTATAACCGACTATTAAGATTTATAATTATATCAAATTCACTTGTATTGACATTAATTTCTTAAAATATCTATATTTGGGACCAAAATGTATATACCTACTTTATATTATGTGTATTTTTACTTTGATAATTCCGGTAATAGGCATTATTGCTGTTGGAATTAAATAATAAATAAATAAAATTAAATTTAAAAAAATAAAATAAATAGGTACATAAGGTGTGAATAGGTAGTTAGAATAGGATGGAGAGAAATTGTTGCAAGTGTACCGTGTGTCCTCTTTTTGTTGAGACTGCGGTGTATCTCAGCTGTTTTTAAAGATAGAGACGCGGTTTTAGCGACCCTCTGCCACTTTTTTGTGCAAGTGTGAATACCACAATTAGTATTTTTTAAATGTAACACCTTGTACATCTTAACGTCAATTTTTTGCATTGTTATTCCTTGTTACACTGATGTATCACATCCTATAATTTTGTTTAATTTTAGCCATGAACCAAAAATAGAAACTAAATTAATAGTTTTAAAATTTTTTTTAATTTATAATTTTTAAATAGTAGGCCATAGATTTATGGAGATTTTGTTTTTTTTTGTTGTATTCATGGCCGCCGATCCCAATCAATAAAAATGGCTGACGATAGAAACATCTCATTTCAAAATTTTGAAAAATATGATATAATATATAATTATATAAAAAATACAGGTTGTGGTACATAATATAATTCGGAAATAATTGACGATAAAATATACACGGTGTTGCATTTAAAAAATACCACCATTGGGTCAAATATCGAAAACGGTGGTTCACACATTTTTTACTATGCCACTGGATTCTACGTGGAAATATCTAAAAGAAAAAGTGTTTATCTTTTTTCTACCTTGCATGGGTAGTAAGATATTATAACAAGATGTTAAACTTTTCGATTTCGCCCTGTATCTCAGAAACAAACGTAGCTAGATTGATTCTGTTTGTGACATTACAATTTTCACAAAAAAGTGGCCCAGGGTCGCGAAAACCCGAGCGAAAACCCCAAGTCTGTATTATTAAAAACAGTTGAGATACATCGCAGTCTCAACCAAAATAGGACACACGGTACAACAATCGACTGCTAAGTTTTACATTTTAGTTTACGTCTCCATTACTTTTTTGAAGGTTCGTGGATGATGTGAAGCATTTAAGTACCTACTGTACATTATCGTCTATCGAGTAGTATAGGTAAATTAAATTATATTATTTTATTTGTCACACTAATACTGGGTTTATACAATCATTATCATTAAGGAATAGCTAATAGAAACAAAGGTATGGTTTCGTTGGTTAGCGACGCTGCGACGAACAATAAACCTTTGTTTCTATTGGCTATTTCTTAATGATCTAATGACAATTAAGTAATGATAATGATTGTATAAACCCACCATTATAGTTTTGTATTGACACCATTGTTAATCGGAATTGCTAAATGCTATATCAAATATTCTTTAACAATAAATTAGGTGGCCACCTACACCCCTCCATATGTGACTGACACCCACGGACCAGACCATTTTTTCAAATTCTGTTTTTAGGGAAATTTACGAAAACAATTTCCCTTGTGGGAAGGTTTTGTCCGTCTGTTCCTCGTCTAATTCGACAACGAAAAAAAGACGGCGATCGCATTTCACCACAGTTTTGTGAAAATTAGAATCTGGTCCAAATATAGAAATGTTATGTGATTTTATCCGAAATTCGTTTAGGGCGAGCACTAGAAAGCGGAAGTTTAAATAAAATAAATCCCCGAGTATTCGTGTCAGTATTTGAACTTTTTTTTTAATACAACAGGAAAATATTATTTTAAAAAGTAGGCTAAATGCAAATTGTTCAGAGGAGCAGTAAAAAGCGTAGGTATGTGTACTATCAGTGTAAAATTGACATCGTAACTTAAGAGTTTCCAATTTCCAAACAAACAAGCATACCAAAACCACTACAGACAGACGGAATAGTAAGGGCACAAGCATAATAATGTCTCTTTTGTGGAAAAATATTTTGCTCGTCATTAATATACATGAATCTTACGCATCAAGCAATCGAGCCTGGTCTTTAGTGCATAAATAACGATTTTGACACATTTTGGGTAAACATATTCACTTAGTTGGATATCATGCAATATCTTTCCCAAAAATTGGTGAATAAATATCGATTTTGGGCAATAACATGATGAATACCAAAGATACTTTTGATAGTTGCATGTTGGAACCCATTATTCGGTTTCATATAGCAAAAACTCGGAGCCAATACGAGGTCTAGGACCCGAGCTATAGCGTGGAGCGACAGAGAGACGGGCGGAAAAGTGAGGATATAAGCGCTCCACTTTCGTGGGTTGTGCTAAAAATTTTTGTTCTAAAATTAACGTTTCTTCTTTAATTTTGAAGATAAAAATGTGTAGCAGCTGAAAAAGTTATCTACTGATGCGGTGTAAAACTAGGTTATAGAGAAAAAATGACTTTATGGACACATGTAAAATTGTAGAAAAATGTTAATTGCGGTGACCTAATAAATCTCGTAAAGAGGATCTAAAAAAGCGGCAGTGCTACGGGGTCATTGGATTTGGCCCATTTTCAATAGGCTTGTTACATGTAGCAATAATAGGTCAAATGTGTAAAGTTTGAACCTCGGTTTGAACCGAATTGGCTCAAGCATTAGGCAGTTATCGTGTCCGTGTGTATCACGGACAGACAGACAAGCAAATCAAACCGCTCTTATAATTATATTTTAAGGACTGTCTGTCATAAA